TAAAATAACCAATATACATACTTTCTTTTATTATGTTTATGGAAAGTGTTGTTTTATTTCGGCCTTTGAATGCATAAGTTACGCCTGAATGTGAAGTGAGCACAAGTCTTGTTTTGCATTGTTTATTTAATTTTTTTTATTTTTTATTTATTATCTGGATGCAATTTTATTTAATTTTTGTATTACAAATAATAACAAATGTATGTATATCAAATATTTTAGTACAATATGCTTCTCACTTTTATTTTCTTCGTTAACAATAATTGTTTTATATGACGTAAAAGTTGTTGCTTCCTTTCGCTGTTTCTCCTGCATTTCAGAATGTTCTTGAAATGATCATTAACTTTAGTTCTATACGTTTCTCTCATTTTCGACTTTTCTTTAATAATTGGCGACGTTACGTTTACGGTTTATATAAGTCCTTCATACGTGTGACATGTATGCAAATGTATTGTGATGCTGGTTTCAGGGATTAGTAATTATATAAAACGATGTTCTTTCTAAAAACAATTACAATTTCTTCAAAAAAAAAGTAGATATATATATAAAACACACACAAACTATAAGTATACATATATAAAAAGAATTCGTTTCATATTGTGTTGTGAATAAAAATTAATCGCGCAATTGTGCCGCTGATAAAAACAATGCAAAAACAAAATATTCTCTAAGTGTATACATTTTCGACAATGCATTATAAAAAATATTGTCCCGATTGAAAGTATTAGTGTATTTGTGTAAACAACTGACACTGGAAACTGACTGTTCTAATTGTTTGTGCAAATCACGCTGTGGATTTGCCGGCTGCCAGGAAACAACGGATACTATTTGAGCCGCTTCTAATACTCCCTGCATTCTAAACAGCTGCGCTTTAATCCAATTTGATGGGCTCTTGAAATATAGGTTCAAATACCAACATTAACTTTGAGTTTTGCTGAAAAATTCAAAAAAAAAAAAAAAAAATTGGATTAATTTGGAAAAGATTTTTTGCACTCTCGCGTACTGTTGGTATACGAATTCAATATTCAAGCGTGTTTTTTTTTTTTGATTTATTAATTTTTATTGTTTTCTTTATTTGCCAATTTTTCAAAACTTAAAACATTTTACACAAATTAATTTTAAAAATTTTTAATACGTACGCAGTCTGTTTAAAAGTAAAGTTAGATTATACACTCCTACATCTACATATACACTATGTACTCACACATATATATATATATATATATATATATATATATGCTTTTGTATTTTTATAGAGAAAGATATATTTTATATATATGTATGTATATATAGATTTAGTAATTATGATTAAATCTTGCCTTTGCATCATCACAATTCATGTAAAGTTTTTGTTGTTGTTTTGTTTTCTACATTTTTTTGAATTTTCCGGTTTTTTTTTTTATTTTTACTCAGTTTCCACGCGCCTTTTGCAATTTTTGTTTATAGTTCTATTTATTTAATATTGTTATATTTTGTTTGCGTTGCACGATTTATTTGTTGAAATTCAATTTACACACGTATACAGTTATTATTGTTAGATATTATGTAAGTATATCAGAGCTGGGTCAAAGGTCGAAAATGTGCTTGCGCTTCTGCTTTTACGATACACAAAAATGTTGAAAATTAAAACCAATTAAACAGCTAAACAAATAAGTTCGGTAAATATTTTTAACATTAGGGCTTTAAGTTTATGCGTAAAAATATTTTGCTAAAAATTAATATTCATATAGTTTATTATATATTTGTTTATATATATATATATATATGTATATATATATATTGATTTATATAACATAATATTGAAAACTTAAGCGCACAAACAAAACTAAATATTCAAATTAAAAACTAATTTTGCCAAACGTTTTTGCTTTCCCGAAAAAAATTAAACAAAATTACAAATTACAATACATATTTAACACAAAAATATAAAGGGCAGGGGGCGGGGGGCTTGGGGTTTTCGAAACAACAAATTTGGGTAATTCCAAAACAAGAGTGGGGGGGGGGGGGGGGGGGTAGAGGATTTTTCAAAACAATTATATGACTGCAAAGGCAGCAGCGGCACATAATTCAAATGACTTTTGTATTGTATTTAATTTTTTTTTTGGTTTTTTTTTTTTTTTATAAATTTTGTTGCTTTTCGTTTTTAACCAAAGTGAAAACTTGAACGGATTGTGTAACAGGTTTTGCCAATTTGTTTTGTAGTTTACAATTAAAAACACATTAACAATTAAGACTTACAATTAAAAATTACAAATTTAAAACAATATAAAATCAGTACAGCATCAAATTAAACAAAACTTTATCATTAATTATATGTATACATATGTATATTTGCAATTTGAAAATGGGTTCAAGTTTCAAAGTCACCAAAAATTTCCAAATTTCGTTATCTTTCTTCTTTCATTTTTTTTAAGGCATAAACAAAATTGTTTAACATGCAAAAATGCGCGGCGTACAAAATTTCTGTTTCTTTTTCATTTTGCTTTGTTTGTGTGTGTGTGTTAAACAAAAAATATATAAATGGATAAAAAAAATAATAAACTTTCGTAGGCAACAATTGATGAAAAGTGGACACAAAAAAAGAGAAAAAAAAAATGTGCACAACGAAACTTAGTACAAAAAAATTGGTTAAATATTTGTGATTGTTTTTGTTTTTTTTTTCGTTTTCGCTTTTTAAATATTTTTCAATGTTTTAGATTTATTTAGTTAGAAAATGGCGCACACTTTGCTGCGGCTGCTGCGGCTGCAGTTTACTCTGTTGCAAGGGTGTACTTTTAAATATTAGGGTATACGTTTATCTGTGTGTTGAGTGTGTGTGTGTGTGAGTGTGTTACTAAAGTTAAGCTTAACTATGGTCATTTAGAATTTGTAGTAAATGTTCTTATTGTTGTTTGCTAATGTATTATTATTATTATTATTATGTTTTAAAGTTCTTTGCTGGTGTTGCAAATTTGTTTTGTTTTCTTTTGTTTTGCGCAAGTTTAAAATTATTTTTTGCTCTTCGTATATATTTAACTTTAGGCAACTGCTTGGTGTCTGTGTCTATCTTTATCTGTATCTGGAGCTGTATGTGTGTGTCTGTGTGTGTGTTGTGATTAAATTTTAAAATATCATATATTCCGTTTTAGGCGCTTGCTGAACAATGTTTATAGATACGCTTTTAAAAAATCTCACGCCTACTCTTTCAAACATCATCTTTATCTTCATCTTCATCTACATTCGTTTTGTTCTTGAGTTTAAAATTGGAAGTTTTGCTTGTTATTTGATTATAACTAATTTAATTGTTTATACATTTTTATGTTATTATTTACTTGAGATCTAGCAAAAAAAAAAAAATAAAATAAAATATATCGATTGGAATAAACCGAAAGGAAAAAATTAAAATTGTACACAATTTCAACAAATATTTTAGCCAAAAGTATCTTTTGTTTCACATATTTCATTTTCGCATTGATGTTTGTCGTCTAGGAGGCATGGAGTTACAGTTAAATAATGCTTATTTATATATTATTATAGAGTTGCTAAATATATGTATGTGTGTGTGTTTATACGTTTCGATTTGCTTTGAATCTGTGACAGCACTCTAAAAGTATGTCAACTTTTAAGGACAAGTATCGAAAATAATATTTAGGAAAAGTTGTGTATATAACTTGGAAGTTTCTTTTTAGTTTTAAATGTTTTTGTTGTTGTTGTTGTAAGTTAAATCTTTGAGAGCTGCTGCTAGACGCGTTGGCTAATTGATTTCGTAATTTAGTTTTTGTATATATTAATGTTTATTTGCTTAGTTACCGTTATTAAATTCCCTATAATATTATCGCTTGTAAAATTTATAGTTCCTATTAATTGTTTGTTAAACTGTGATGTCTGTGTGTGTGAGTGTGTGTGTATGTGTGTGTGTGTTTCTCCTACTAATTCGTTGCTTATCGATAGCAGCTATTCAGTTCTTGGACTGCTGCATTTTGTATCTGTAGCTGTAGCTTTAGCTGTATCTTGTATCTTTTGCGTGTATATATTTTTAAATTATCATTTGCCATTGTTTTGTGCAATTTCTTAGCTCTACATAATTTGTTGCTGGTTTTTAATTGATTTCAAGTTACCTAAAATAGTTCAATTTAATCAGAAAGTCTTGCCAACGTGCAGCGCCAGACATTATATAATAATGCCACTTGCTGCTGCGCTCTAATTTTTTAGTTTTCTTAACTCTCAACGCCAAACTATTTAATATTTTATTTATTTTTTATCATATTTTGTTTTTGCATTTGTTTTTTTTTTTTTTTATATAATTTCAGTCAATGTTTCTTCATTAAGCTTTGCTTCTGAATTACTTTTATCAATTTGATTAATTTGATCAATTTTTAGAGCTTTAATTTCTTGTAATTTTTTAATTTCTTTTTATTTTTATATTTACATTTGAAGGAAATTTCTTTATATATTTGTTTACTCATTGTTTTTGTTGTTGTTGTTGTTAACGTGCAATTTCTCATACAATTAGATTCCTATTTAATTTGCCGTTTGATTCGCTTTGTATACAAATAGTAGTAAAATGTTAATATATATAATATTTGTTTGTTTTTCAATTTGGTTTTCGCGTTATGTATAAAAAAGTTGCTTAAGTTTTAAAAATCAATATACGAGCCTAACTGCACTATATACCGATATAAATAGATTATATACGTAGTTATTTATTTTTTTCTCTTTTCTCATTTTGTTTTTATATGCTCAATTATTGTTTCGATTTCAAGTTAAAAACGTATGCAGTTGTCGAATTTTAAAAAGTGGATTTTACATGGGTTTTTCCTTTCATCTTTTGCATTTAAAATATGTTTAGCATAATGCTCTAATTATTATTTTTATATCATTATGAAGTCGAACGAAATGTGTTTGCTAAAATGCTGCGGCAAGTCTATAGATATATGCTATATATATATATATATTGGTATTAAATATTTTCTTCGGATTTATAGAGAGTGAGATGTGCAACGAAAAAAAATAACATTTTCTTAAAGGGTTACATAAAGCCCAATTGCTAAATATAATTATGTTTTTGTTATATAGGATTTATTGCTTTTTCAAGTTTCAGCCACGCTCGTTGTAGAGTTGGAAAAGATAAAAAGATACATATATATACACACACACACAGATACATATACATATATATATGCATGCATGTGTATTTATGCTGTAGCTGTTTGTTATTGTTGGTGTGCCTTCTAAATTCCGCGTGTGGTTTTTCATTTATTAACTGTAGCTGCTGTTATTTGTGTGTGTGATTTTTTTTTAACTCCATGCCGAAAACGTATCCATATACCACTGTTCACCATTTGTGCCTAAGGGTTGCTGTGGTAGCGGTAAACTGCCCCAACTGCCGCCATTTCCTATTAAACCGCTCTGGTAACGTCGCTTAACATCTGCCGGATTTTGGTGACCTCCATCGAACTTACGTTTACCGACTACTGCAGTTGTTCAACAGGAATGCGTATGCCATTGATGTGTGTGTGTGTGTGTGGTTTGAGTGTATGTGTGTGAGTGTGTGTATGTGTTGTTTTTCATAGGCGCGCGCGTGGGCGTATGTTTTGGGTGTGGAACGGATTTCAAAAGAGAAAAAAGAGAGAGTTAAAATTGGTTGTTAATACTACAAATGGAACAGAGTTCTTTCATATTATTTTTTGTTTTCATTTTGGATATTTTTTTTTGGTTTTTTTTTGCTGGGCTATGGATTTATTTGGTTTTATATTTAGTTATTTTTTATAACTTTATCGTTTTGTTAATAAATAAAATATAGTAATATACACACACAGATTTTTCGATTTTTTTATTAGGTAGCTCATTTAAATTGTTTTTTTTTTCTGCGTACAATTACACAACAAAATGTAGAAAAATCTTATTAATTGGACATAAACGTCGGGGACTTGTTATTTGTACACAAACATGACACAGATGTATGAGTGTGCGTGAGAGGTGTGTGTGTGTGTGTGAGTTTGTGTGTGTGTGTGTGTGTGTTTATGTGCAGGTGTAAGATAAAACATTGTACATGATATTATCGCTTTTTAAGCCACATGTATGAATTAAGTGTGTAAGGGGGTTGGGTGGGTGGTGGTGGTGGGGTACAGTGTGTTTTCATTAAGTCGTTTGGCCTTTTCCTTTTTGATGTCTTTGAATGGAGCGCTGTATCTTGAACACAATTCGCTGGCTGTGTCTTGTTCGCCTGTTAATTTGGAATTTTGCGTTAATATTGCTTTGATTTTGAAATAACGATATCTTCGTCGTTTAAAAATTCTTGAGTAATTGAACTGATCTGCCTTTTAGAAAAAAGAAAAAAAAAATATTGAGAGGGAGAGAGGGGTGTGTGTGTGTGTGTGTGTGTGTGTGCATGTGTTTCTCGAATAAGGATTTCGCAAAATCAGGCATATTAGCTTGTATGTGTTGGTTGATTGTGTATTATAATTTGTTTTCTTTTCTTGGTTTTTTTTTTTTTTGTTTTTAGTTAGAGCTCCTCTTTTTTTCTTTCTTTTCGGTACGAGATGACTTGGACTTGCGTGAATGCTTCTTGGATTTGTGTGACTTAATTTTGTTACTTGAGGAGCTCTGACGCTTCAGTTTCTTGCTCGGCGAGCGACTCTCGTCGCTGCGCACGGAACTGACGACCGAGGAGCTACGCTTAGTTGCCCTCCATGTAAGTCTTGAGTGCAGATCCAGCTAGAAACAGATTTTATTTGGTTTTTTTTTCTTCTTCTATCTATTGTTTTTTTTTTTTACAATTTCGAGTGTGGTGTGTACAGTAAATGAAGCCGTTCTCTATTTAAGGTAGAAAAAAAAGCTTACAAAATGTGTATGGACAATACAAAATGTAGGCGTATATATGTAGGTGAAGCGTGTAAACTAAAGATGTTGAGATATATATATAAGTATAAGTGTGTATTGTAGTGTGTGCCACGCTTTTGCTTTGGCCAATACGAATAGAGCTGGCGGCAAAAGCGTGCAACATTAGGGCACGTTTATATATATGTATATGCAGCCATAATTAAATTTATAACAAATTATATTATATTAAGTGTAAGTGTTTATGTGTGTGTGTGTATAATAGTCAAACACGAATCGATTAGTATTTGGTGTACAAAAAAAAAAAAATAAGAGTATATATACAAGTATTTATACGAAATAAAAACATAAATGTACAGGTGTTATTTATTTATATATTTTATGTATTTATATTATGTTTGTGTAGAGGATATGGTTACTAATATTGAACGGTTTTTGCTAAATAAAATGATTAGCAAAGCATGAACTTATTTAATATGACAAATACATTTATATTAATACTCAAAATTTAGAAAAATATATTTATTGTGCCAACGCATCAGATATTTGTTTCTAGTTTAAGTTGGTAACCAAAGTGTAAAAAAAAATTATATACACGTACGTCAAATTTGTTTATTGTCGGGTAGCTGCTTCTAAGGGGCGACAAAAGGGGTGTATCTTCAGCTCTCCACTGACATTTGACAACATTATCTACCAGTAGTAGCAGGGGAGGGGGGACGGTGGGCGCGGGGCGTGGCGGGGCTTGGCGGTCATTGTTAGGGTGATATATTTAAATACTAATCGATTCATAAACGTTTACACATCAAGTTACATACATATGTACATAAACATATATATGCATTCATATAATTTGTTATAGTGGCTTTCCATATACATATTTGCAAGTGATTGTGTGTGTGTGTGTGTGTATGTAGTTTGGTGTGTGTATGCAGTGTGTGTGTGTGTGTGTGTGTGTGTGTATGCAGTGTGTGTGTGTGTGTGTGTGTGTGTGTGTGAGCTGCTTGCTGCTTTTGGCAAGCCCGAACTAGGAGCATGCAAGAATTGTAGCCTACATTTGAGCGCTGTCGAAATGATATTCAAAATGAAAATGATCGTGGCCAAAAATCCAAAAGCAGCAGGAGGCAAAAACTACAGTAAGAAAATATATTTATAATTTAAATATATATGTATATATATATATATGGACATTTAAAGGATAAATATATAAAGAGAAAATATTAATGAATTGGCAAAGTTTGTTGACAAAAAATTTACAACATTGAAACACGTTTACAAAATGCAAAAAGGAAAAAGAATATTAATAAAAGAAAAAACACGACATTTAAGTGAACCTGACGATGCTCCCATAACAAGCTTTTCGGGCGGTTCAGACCATGTAAGACCGACGGTTTGTACGATGTGTGTGTGTGTGTGTGAGTGTTGGTGTGTGTGTGTGTGTGTGTGTGTGTGGGCTGGGAGTAGCATTTTACTTGGCTTTACTTATTAATTTATATGAATTTGTATTGTTATGCATTTTTAGGTTGTTGCTGTTGTTGCTGTTTGATGGTGTTCGTGTCGGTGGTTGTTGCTGCTGCTGCTGCTGTTGCTGCAGTTGTTGCAATGTTGCATTTGGACGTTGTTTGGACTTTGGGTTTGATGTTTGTTTTGTTTTGTTTTGGTTTGGTTTGTTGCTGTTGTTTTTTGTTGTTGTGGTTGTTGAGCTCACCTGGTAAATTTTGTAGCGGCTTGACGTGCTGGGTGCCAGGAGCGCTGGGACGCATTGGTGCCACCCCACGGACCCCCCCGGTTGCTGCCGGAGCCCCCTGAACGGTGGCCGCCCCCCGATGAGCCGCCGCCGCCTGTCCCACCGCCGCCACCGCTGGCGCCGCCTGTGGCGCTGGTTGGGCCCCCAGACGACTGATGCTGCCACGTTGGCCAACGGCTCGGCCACGCGGGACTGTGATTCCATGCCCACGGCCAGCCCCCTAGTCATGATCATCACCATCATCATCATCATCATCCACATCATCATGGCATGCATGCATTTTGTAGTGTGTGTGTGGGCGTGTATGTGTGATAGTGTGCATTTCGTGTGTGTGTGTGTGTGTGTGTGTGTGTGTGTTGTGTTGGTGTGTGGTGTATTTCGATTCGATATATTATATTTATATTCCAGAGCGTGGCATTCCATATGATTCCATATTCAGATATTCCAGGTATTCGAGCGTTGGTTTTGATTTGTTTTTTGGTTCGATTTCGAATTTTTGCAGTTTAACAGTATTTTTTTTTTACATAATATAAATTGTGTGTAAGATATATATAATATATATGGATCGCCAAGATAATTGTCAAATTTGGTCATTTCAAATGAAATTAAATTAAGCGAATAAAATACATTTGGATTTGGAATTTAGTTGTCGAATGCAGTTGCAAATTTCGAAATTTGATTTTAAGAGAGAAAAAGACGGTTGGGCAAAATTGAATAGCGGGGATTTTGGGTTTTTATATAATTTTTTTTTTTTGGTTGATTTTTGAATCAAAAAGTTTGTCGATAGATTTTTGGTTATGAATGGTCGTTGGTTGTTTGGTTGCATTAATTTATGGATTTTTTTTTTGGAATTTTGTTTGAATTTGACGAACATATATATAATTTTTTTTTGTTTTGGTTTGCAAAGTTTAGAAAATTTTTTGTTACCGAAAAACAAATGATTTAATTGCATATATATATTTATATATATATATTGTAATATATATATATATACACATATAAATATATATATAAATAGTATAACAAGAACATATATTAAAAGAAAAGAAAGAAAAGAAAAATCGAAATAAACGCGTTAGATTCTTGTATTTACATACAATAATATAAGTATGTAGATATTTAATGTTTATATGTAGTAAATATGTATGTATGAAATTTACGTCTGATTGAGAAAAAAAATGCTAATTATATATATATATTTGTGTGTCTCTGGTGTATTGTCTTTGGTGTATACTAAATGTGCTCGCTTTGAGCAACAAATGCAAACTTTACTGTCTTTTATAATATATGTAATTTAGTACTTAACAAATCACAGAGCAAGAATTCAAGTGTCTTGTTTATAAACGAGCTTCAGCTCAATTTATGTAGAACTTGTTTGTATAGCTTTCTGTTTGCTTGCGATTGACACAAAATCAATTAATTTACTAAATTTTTCGTAAACAATTGTAAAATAATTAAAGCATTTAACTAAAGCAATGGGCGTTTCTTAAAAGTATGCTATGTTTTTGTTGTTGTAACTAAAAAGCATTTTAACTTAATTAATTTAACAAACTTTAAGAAGCACGTTGGAAAAATAATAATTAATAAATAAAATTAAAATAAAAAAAGCATAGCAATATAAAGCATTTAATGCAATTAAGGCAATGTTTAATAAAAGCATAAAGCGCAGGGTGTAACAATTCAATTTGGTTTTGGTTTGTTAGTTTCCAGGGCATAAAGCATAAAGCGTAGCATAATAAATCATAAATTTGTTTCCATTGCTCAAATGTTGGCCAAAAGCTTTTGTGAGGGTCTGTGAGCTGTAGTAGGTGGTGGTGTTTGTGTTGGTGGTGGTGGTGCTGGTGGTGGTGGTGTGTGTGTGTGGAATGATGTGCTGCGCTGTGTTAATTGTTGTGGGTCGTGTGCAGTTGGCAGCATTAAACATGCAAATTTTGATTTGTGTAAATGAAAATATAAAAAAATTTCCAAAATTAATGTTTGGCTTAAAAAGCAAAAACAAAAAACGCTGGAAGCAAAGCTCATTAAAATCAAAATAAAAAAAAGAAACAATCGGCATCAGCTGTAAATGGCACAAGAGGAGCTTTATTACAGCAATCGAGCTTTGCAAGTGCATTGAGCTTTTCATGGTGCCAATTTCAGCTTTCAGCACGAATCGCATTATAATGACACTGGCTGAAAATGACACATGAGCAGCTTTATTATAGTAATTGAGCTTTGCAAGTGCATTGAGCTTTTCACGGTGCCAATTTCAGCTGTCAGCAGGACGCAAACGAAGTCGCTTTTCAAACTACATTTACGAATTTACGAATTACAATTCTACAGTAAGTAGCTACTAGTTTTATCAATTGTATTTCTGAGTGCGTGTTGTAATTGTAACTGTGGGCAACGACTGTAACTGTGATTCCGCGAGACTAAGAGCATAATTGAACGGTTTAGAGCACGCACCATAATCACAGGCGAATTGGCCGAGCCACCTTGCTGGGATCTTGGACGCTGCGAGGCGTTTAGGGAGACGGCGCCGCCCCCCGAATTGTTAGACATGGCTACAGCAGCGCTGCCAACGCCGCCGGCAGCTCCATTGCCGCTGGCGGTATTCGGATAATCATAATAGCTGTATTCGCCTTCATAGGCGCGATAGACATCATCATAGTACGAATCAGCACCAAAACCGGGACGAAATTCCGAATAGCCAAAATAATCATAATCGTAGTCTAGAATTTTGCACAATGTGGTTGGGGTAGGATTGTGGTTAAAGGTTTCAGGTTAATTAAGGAATAATTCGACTGTTAAATTGTGAGAGTGTTTGTGGATGTGTGCGTGTGTGCTTAAGGGTGTGTATGCATGTGTGTGCGTGAGGGTGTGGGAGAAGAACCTGTCGTAGCTGCGTTTTACCAATTTTTTAACACGAATTGGGCGCGTTCTTAACGCTGATGGAGACTATATGGTGGGCGTGGCAGACACACACATACACATTCGATACAAATGTAGAATTAAGTAGATTGATGACTTGGATTACTTACCGGTGATAAAACATCAAACAGTATACAGGGTGCTTAACATTCGCTACACAGAGAACACAATTGCAACGTTTAATTATGATAAACACAGCTATGAACAACGTTTAGAGGTTAAGTCTAACTATGTGTAGTGGTATTAGTAAGTTAATAGTTGTTGTCAGAGACTAGGAGCATCTTGAAGATGTTGTAGGAGGAGAGCCGAAGATAATATGGAAAAGACAACATCGAAAAGAAACGCACATGCAAACAAATTATGACAAATGGATAGAAACAAAGGAGAGAAAGAGAGAGAGAGAGAGAGAGAGAGCATTGACATACAAAACTTGCAAATATGAATTATTTACGTTTAGCACAAATGTGAAAATTATAAATCAAAATTTGGTTATGTGTGTGCGCAAATTGGTTTAATCATATGCCAATTGTCAATTGGTTAGTCTCAATCTAGCTGAATACTTTTGTACAAGACTGTGTAGGACAGGTGGTGCTAGGGGGCGTTGTGTGTGAATGTGAGTGTGAGTGTGACTGTATGTGTGTATGTGTGTGAGTGTGAGTGTGTGTGTAGTATTAGTATTAGTTGGGAGGGCACGAGCGTACAAGTTAGTGGGCAGCGCGCTTTCTAACCTTAAAATAACTAACTAAAATGAGAGAGACGATAAAAACGATAAAAGGTGTTTAATGAAGAACCAAATATTGTTAAGCTGCAGACCAATTAATTGCTTCTGTCTAGTTATGGTTAAACAACTTCAGTTGTTAAGGGTTAGTTTGCTGTGGCATTGTAGCAATACATTTATCTAAAATTTAACTAAACATTAAACCTAAGAAACAAGGTGCCTCTCGATGGTAACACTCGTTTGGTATTCGCAATAAGAACTACAAAACTAAATCAAATTTTCGTTTAACAACATTAGTTAGATAATTCTTTGTTTAATATCCTGCGATTTCAGTTTTTCTCTCATTTTGGGAGCCACAGACATGTGCACTCGTTAAGTAGATATATATATATAGATATATATATATATACATACATATTTTTGTTTGATACTTGGATGAGAATTATCGATTGGGTTCACTTATTGGCGTATTTGCCCAACTTACCGTATTCACGGGGCATCGGTGTGCGCAGCGGCGGCATACGCGCCCCTGGTAGGCGCATGGGCGTTATGGACATCATGCTGGGATGTGTCGGCGACAGGTTTCTGTATGGAGACAATGTTTCAAATCTTTACATGGCAACCAATGGTCAGAGTGTTGGGTTTTAGTTTTGATTTTAGTTTTGGTTTTGGTTTTGGTTTTGGTCGTTTGTCGTGTGATGGGAGGCAGTGAAGCAACAAACAAGTGGGATCGCCCATTTTGATCACGAGACGATTGGCGATTGGCGATTCGCAAGTCGCAATTGGCAATAAAAAGAAAGAAAATATAAAGTTAAATAAATTAAATGAATCTCACTCGGATTCGTTATTGTGGATAATGGCGACTTGAAAAGCAAACATATTTCTCAAAATTTTGATTTGAATCGAATTTCGTAGCCCAATTGTTAGCAAACATTTGTGCATGGGTTCATTTATATTGGATTTTTGAATTTTGCGCCAATTTAGCGTTGTGCTAGACAAGGATTGTAAGGGTGTATTATGTTTATTGTAAATGCGTGTGTGTGTGTGAGCATAAGCCCTGTACGAAGAACGACTCGTTGCGCTTTCAATATACCAACGAGTGATTCGTTGTGCAATGAGTGATTCGTTTAAGTTCAAGCCTAAACAACGAGTAGCTTCCCGTTTGCTCCTTCGTACAAGGCTCTAAAATGTATGTATGTGTGTAGTTAATCCAACTGGCAGCTGGAAGCACTTACCCAACGATTCCTGGACGCGCCTGCATCATTTGCATCATGCGTCGTTCGCGTGCGCGCAGAATTTCCTCCTTTTTCTTTTTGTCCGATGGTGGTTTGGCGAGTGAGACCTGTTGAATTAAACAAATGCCATATATAAATGAACAAAAGATGTGATTAAAATGGGATTTACCTCAATATTCGAGGCGCCGACCTCCTTGCCATTAAGGCCACGCATAGCTTCGACGGCGCTATCACGATCCTCAAAATGTATAAAGGCATAGTCTTTAATCTTCTTAACGCGTTCCACTTTGCCATATTGCTCGAATTGTTCCTGTTTAGAAGAAAATTTATGAGTAAATTGGAATTGGATTAATTAATACACACTTACCTTCAGTTTATCCTCTGTAACGTCTTGCGTCAGATTTCGCACGTAGAGCACTTTAACCTTGGACATTGTTTGTTCATCCGGCTCCTCCTGTGGATCAGCCCAATCGACTATAATATCACATCCCCAAACCTGCAAAGCACAGAACTTCTTTATATCCGATTCGGGGGATGGGTAGAATTAAATACTTGCCTTAATTCTACCAGTGCCAAGTCTTCGTTTGGCCAAAGAAGCCGCCTTGTGTGAATCGTATTCGAGAAAACAAAAACCGCGATTCTTTTTCTTGTCATCTGGCGAGCTGTAGATGATTACCTCGTAGAGGCCAGCTACAGATTTGTATGTATATGTCATTTTTATAAATACAAAAGACAATGCGTTAAATGAGTATTAAGATTTAAATAAATTACAAATTAATTTAAATTATTTTCAAATGCAGTACTACAAAATAATGATTTGTTTCACACACACACAAACATTTATATATTTATATAGAGATAAATACAACAAAAAAGTATTTGTATTGACAGCATTTTGGGGTGAGTACATGTATGTGTGTGTGTGTGAGTGGCTGTGGTGTGTGTATGTGTGTGTATCTGTGTGATAATAACGGCATCAAGATCCGTACTTTGAAATATTGAATTAGATAATTAAATTAAAGACAAATGCACAAAATTTTACATGACAAGCGGCGTTTGTGCATTGTAAAATAATGCAAATTCCTGATCGTATCGATATTGAAATTTATCGTTAATACAGATGATTTTTGAAAACCAATGCCAACAAATTTCCTTATTTTCTTCAAATATTTTTGAATAAATTAATGCGCTAAGCTAAACGTATTTGGTGTGTATATATATATAAATATATTATGAAGAGAGTTTCGCATAGTTATATACGTATATATAAAGATAGAGACAGAAAGACAGATAGAGAGAGAGAGAGAGAGAGAGAGAGGCGGGTATAACATTAAATATTTTGAAATTAAAGACACACTTAGAAGAAAAATTAAAAAAAAACAACTAATTTCTTTTGAACGCACACAGATTTCTTTCGTTTTTGCTTTGTACAAATTGCAAATTGTAAAAATAATATGGAAGGTATTATTGAGCACACATTGAGCTTGGATACTTCTTTGGTGGATTAAACAAAAACAATAACAAGATAGTATACACTGAGAAAGACAGATAGATATAGTAAGAAACACGTATAATAAACTGATTTTGAATTTCAATTGAGTTTCAATCGATTTGCTTCAATTGCAGCTGGGCCGCTTATAGAGAGACAGCGACAGAAAGAGAGAGAGATAGAGAGAGAGAGAGAGTTACGAGTAAATGAGTTTTGGGGGTGGGGAATTAACACGTTTACATTAAGTGTTTTCTCCAGTCATTACCATAGTAGTTATATGATTGGCCAGAACAGAATTTATACGAATTGTATTATCCTAACCAAATTGATGGGGCTATTTGTGTGCGCGATTTGTCTTTAGCATATTGACAGATATGGCTTGTATCTGCACTAAATGAAAAATTTTAACGCTTCTTAGATTGTTTCAAAAATATTCAAAAATGTTTGTTTATTGGTATTTTTTTTTTGTTTTTTTGGCAAATTGTTTAGCTACAGGTTTTCAATGTCAACAAATTGGGCACATTTATTACAAATCATAATCAAGTGTAACAATTAATTTTTTGTTGTATTTTCTAGCAGTTAAATAGAGAAATAGAGAGAGAGAGAGAGAGAGAGGTAGGGGAAAGAGATAGATAGCTTAGGTAGAGCTTTTTTTTCTGATGGGATCGTGTGTGTGGCATGATGTTTTAATTTTAAAAAAGATATTTTTTTTTAAAAGCGAAAATTGCAAAACAAAAATCCAATTAATGCTTTGTTGCTGCTGCAGTTGTTTTCAATTCTGGCTGTCTGCAAGAATCGCCCCTAAAAATTGAATGCCTTACGTACATTTATACCAATTCGCTGGGAGGGTGGGTGGTGGGGGGGATGGTGTTTCATGATTTTGAAAAAGTTTTAGGTTGGAGGGGTTTTTGGTTTGATTGATTTCATATTTGGTTTTGTTGTTTTTGTTTTGTTTTGGATCACTTACGTGCATGTTTAGAAAATTCCTCAATTAATTCGTCACGATCTCTATTTTTAGGTATATTTCCGACAAAAAGCCGGTGATTGTTAAATGATATCGTAACACCAATCTTTTTGCCTTTCCGAATTTCAAAATCATTTAGCTGCAATTGTTCAAAAGTTCACACAAAACAAAAGAAAATTTTGATTTGCTATGAAAAAATTTGTATCCATCGGGTACAGCAACTTTTTTTTTGTTTACTTGACTTTTCGGGTTTGGTTTTTGGGGTGATAAATTATGGTTGTTTCTGTGTGTGTGTGTACGTGTGTGTGTTCGAGTGTTGGTGTGTGTGTGTGTGTGGATGGGAGGCGAGTGTGCGTGTTGACTTAAAAAATTTGTAAGATCTAGACTAGCCTTAAAAATTTGTAAGTTATTTATTATTCGTGCCAAATAAAAAGGAATTTATGAAATATTTAATAAGGTTTTTAGCTAAAAATTTATAATATTTTGTTGGTGAGTTTTAAATGTATTTGCTTTTTCGCTACAGCTGCAAAAGTCATCCGTTTTTTTTTTTTTGGAGTGGAGGGGGGTGGTCTCATCTTACCTTTTGAATGCATACACACACAATTACAAAATTTTGACACCAATTGTAGATGACCTTATGAGCGATAAAAAAAAAGAAAGAAAGGTACCTATTCCTATAAGGTGTACAACTGAAAATCATTTACGAAAAGAATATGCATTGCCTATGAATTTTGGAGTAATTTTTCAAACATTTTCATAATGTTTTCCATTTTGGTTTTTGTACGCAAAGTTAATGACTGGAGATTATATAATATAGTATATATATATATATATATATCGTATATAATTATATAGTTTGATAAAAGATAAATATTCGTAAGCGTATGGCAAATCATATTTGTCAATGGATTGTATGGGCGTGTGGTTGTGGGTGTGGCATGTGGCGTGTGGGCGTACAAGTGCCACCCATGATCTGTGCGAGCGCATTTGAAAAGAGTTTCGGATTTGATTCGAGAAATGAGAGAACGCTTTGATTTGAATTTGAATTTGTACTGCATATGAGTGGGCATTGGAGTGGCGGATGGATATGTTGTTGGATGTGATGAAAGCATAGAAATGATTAAATAATATAATAAACAAACGAAAATAACCTGACCTGACCTAACCTGATCTAACCTTATTTAATGCCGGCTTGCAATTAGCCAATTCAGTTAAAGCCAATTGGATTTTTGTTTTTAAAGCCGATTTTTGGTTTGGAGCTTTATAAATAGGCGCTTGGGAAAGAAAAGCAGCGACCTTTCATAGAGCTCCGTAGTTGAGAATTTTAAATAGTTCAATTTCGTTTCAATTTACCTGTAAGTTTACCAAATTCCTCTAAAATTTCATCTTTGCCTTTTGACTTGGGTATATTGCCTACGAAGAGGCGCAGATTCGGTACGCTTATATTTATTTTCAGACACTTGCCGGGTTTTATTTCGTGATTATCGAGCTAAATTGTGGGTGGGAAGGTAAAACGATTTTTAATACAAATTCAATTGTTAATCATAATAAATAATAAATGAAAATCATAAACAAATAACTCAGTAAAATAATTTTGTAAAAGGCGGGGACTTTCTGGGATACGGGTTACGGTTGGTCGGGTGCTTTTTGAATCAAAACAAAACGATAAAATATTTAAGAATAATCAAATAATGTTTTAAAATATTTTTGCATTACCAATTTTGAAATGTTTTGCAGAGATTGTTCGCGTAGCGGCAATTTGAAATATTAATGTAAAAGGTTTAGAGTTAGTTAGAGATTAAATTATATTTGTAAGCTCTGCAGAGTTCTTAGAGACTGGATCGTTAGTATAGTGCTTAGTAAAGGACATGCTCGGGTTGCTTTTCTTCTTCTTCAATAAAACCAGACAATGAAAATGTACCCCTACAAAATTGATAGGCGATATATAATCTACGATTTATATGCTAGAGCTACAAGTTGACTTAAGGCTAAGAAAAATAAATATTTAAAAATTATAAGCGAAATTAAAGAGAGGGGACATATTTGCAGTTCAAATATTGTATATATGTAACGCAGAGAGAACTCTTTTCAAATTTGCAAATTTTCGTTTATCGATCAACACTATCGATCTCTAGTGCAATGTACTTTCGAATCGCGTAACAAAATTATATATAGATTTATATAATTTATAAAAGGACATGCATATATAACAGGTTACAGATAGATATGTAGAATAGGCACAGCGTAAGAGTAAGAGCGTTAGCGATAAAGATTAGGGCAGGCGATTTTTTAAGTAGCAACAATAAAGATTTTCTTCATTTTAGTTTGTTTTGTCTCGAAGCGCCAAATCGGTATAAATCTGGTTGTAGTTGTTGTTTGTTGTTCAAGTTGAATATATCATCAAATCGTTCGAATTTTGGTGCTTTAAACTAAAAGTTTTCGATTGTTGAATTTGGTAGCAAGCGGCTGTGTTGAGGACCAAAACGTAAACGTTTTCGAATCGGTTCGAACTGTTTTTCAATTTTGTTTACCTACTATACAGAAATTTTGATAAATATATTATATATGTAGTAGTAGTTTATGTATATAATTCTTTTAACACAAAGCGCTTTATGTACGGACAGTGTTTTTGCTGTTTGGGGTCGAGGGGGCCGGGAGACAGTTGGATGGATTGATATAGTCAAGGTTGGCTTAAATACCTGTCGCACAGCATTGACGGCTGCCTCGCGATTTGTGAATGTGACAAATGCGTAGCCACGATTTGTACCAGTCATGGGGTCCATCATGAGTCTAAGGTCCCAAATGGTGCCGCAATTCTCGAATAGCGGTATTAGCTCGTCCTCAAACATATCCTTGGGTATTTTGCCACAGAAAACTTCGCAGCCATTGCCGGGCACATTGCCCTCCCAGTTGGGTGGCGGCCCGCCGTATTTGCGTTGTCCTGCAAGGGTCATAAATAAATATATTATTAAGGATTTGTGATCGTTTTTGTTTTTTTTTTTTGTATTTATACCTGTGGTCACGTCCAATGTGTAGCCAGTACGCTCCAGTATCTTTTTGATCTTCTCTTCATCCGGCCCCTTTACCTGTATAGAGCTGGCGGTTGCGGGCACACCTTGCTGACTGGCGCGACTCTTTTGACGATAGGTTTTCATGACCCCACACAAGTAGGCAGACTTATTTGACACATGCTCCAAATTTGACTCGAGGAACTGACTAAGCACATTCAAGGCACCATCAACGGGAAACTCCTTGAGCGCGTCCAGCGCGCGCTCATCCAGCTCGGCGTGGGCAAGTTTGCCAGTTTTGTAGATTTCATCCAGTTTGCCGGCGACCTGAACAACAAATATGCAGCATTATTACAAACGAAAGCAGCTAAATATGGCTTCAATTAAAAGGTACCTTCTTGTCCAGACCGTACTCCAGCAGCTTGGGATAATCCTCTGTACGTTCGCCATCGCCACGGTCATCGGCTTTCTGGTTAATGTCATCTAAAAGTTCGCCATTTCCTTCCGCCATTTCTAAAAATCCAAGAAAAACATGTTAGTAAAAGCTTAAATAAATTCGAGACAAACAATGAACATTCATATAAAAAATAAAAATAAAATTTTAAATGCGAGCAGCAAGTCGAAGTAGGTCGCGAGTAAAATTCGCACGCATCGCACGCACCAGAGAGCGCTAGACAACGTTAATGGGAGAAAGAGCGAAAAAAAAAAACAACAAAGTTGTGCCAAAAAGTTTATTGACCTCAAACAAACGCACGTTCCGACCTGATCAGCAGAGTGGGAGACAGAAAGGCACGAGAGTACGCAACGCACGCACAAATTAGTGCGTGCATGACAAAGCTTATCGGCAAAGGCGAGAATGAGAGCGAGATAGAGAGAAAGAGAGTATTTGACAAAAGCAAAAGGTAAACAATAGAAAAAAGAGGCGCGTTTGCGAATTGTGCGTGTGTGCACGAAGTACGGATAACCGAGTCCCGATTGCGGGACTCACGAACTGACCGCTGGCCGGCACACGCATGCATGACGTAGTCGTAGTCGTAGTCGGTGACGATGACAGTTCGGTGGTTGTGTGTGTGTGTGTGTGTGTACACGTTAATCAATTGTGTGTCATTAGGACGGCGGCACCGTACAACTGTTTGTATGGTAACTGTACGAAAAAAGAATGCTGTATATATGTATGTACATATATGCACATAGTATATCAATTACACTTGTCAGCCGTTTCATTTATATGTATTTATGTACATATATGCAATATTATGGGCAATGCAAATGTTTGTTGTGTCACTGTGCAGCTGCTACTGGGCTAGTCATAATGAAAATACCAAATTGGCACCCGTTGCCAAGTGATTCACACACACACACATTCACATTCAGTTGCCAATCTTTTTATCAGCAATAAATTAGTACATATATTTTTACTTAATGTATGTGTGTGTGTGTGTGAGCGTTTGCTCAAACTAAATGCGAAATACAAATTCTTTGTCCGCAAACACAACAAGAAAAGAACTACGGAACGAGCATATTGCGTAACGAAGTGAAAAAAAAAATTGATCGCAACGCGAGAGAGCGAGAGTGAAATGCCATGGAGAGCGTGGGCCGTGGTGACGAATGGGGGAGTGTATGTATGTCTATGTGTATGTGCATGTCTGTGTGTGTGCATGCGCAAGTGTGTGCGCGATTCGCTCATAATTCGCATTCGCGTACATATTGCAAAAATATTTTCAGCGCTGCTTTTTGTTTGTTGCTCCGCTCGCCAAAGCTCTCACCCAGTTTAGTTCTCTCGCTCTCGCTCTACGCTTGGCTATTGCTATTTCGTTTTATGTTCGTAGTTTTTTTGTCTGTCGTTCATCGGCATGACATTGAAAAAAATTGTGTATTTGTCGTTGTTGTTGTTGTTGTTGTTACTCACTTGCGCCCCGAGTTTGGGGCTTAATCTCATAGTTTTTGTTCACAGTGGCAGCTGGTGATGTTGCCGCTGCTTCTGCCGTTCCGCTGCCGCTGGATCTGCGTCCGCCTATAAGGACGCTGGTGCCAGCGGCAACGCGCTGGGTAACGTTAACCAGCATCGCTAAAGCCAATTGCAAACGAATAACAAAACAAATTAATTCCAGACGATTTGAAATTTACTTTATGAAATTAAAACTTTAGAAGCTTTTCGGAAAGGAATTTTGGTTTTTTCACTTGAAAATTCCGAAATGTTTGGCCCACGTCTAATTTTTCACAACTGGGAAGAAAAACTGATTTGATAGCCAACTAACAATGTCAAATCGTTCAAAGCCTACTTCAAAAGCATTACACACGTGCCGATATCGATAAATTGTTCAACACCCTGACAACCCTGCCCCAACAATTTACAGTTTCAACCTAGCAAATTTACAACTACTGCAGTGTGCATATGTACAGCGGAAATATGCAAATAAAGCGGATATTGGGTCACATTGTTTTGCAATGTATCCCACAACATTGAGCAAAATGCAGTCAGCCAGCAACAGGACCTACTCCCAAATGTGCACACTATTGCATATTGGCGGGGTGTGAAAAAGGCGTGCTGCTCTACATTGTTTGCCCCACATTGCAGAGAGCGTGCGCCAAGCGCTAATACTTAGATATGCGCCATTGTTTTACAATGGGCAGGCGCTAAAGTGCGCGCAGTGCTGCCAATGCAAGTCGAATTTTCAAGCTCTTGTCAAATGCAACTCTGCAAAAGTACCTTATATGCGAGAAAAGTCGCGTCAGCTTATACATATGTATGTACATTTGGTCAAGTGACCAAGAATTAAGCCCGCGACTGTTGGTATGAGTGAAAATATGTAGAATTGTGTAAAACTGACACGAATAATACCTAGGGCTAGAATGCACTTGGTTACGTTTACATATTTTGCACGGGCTTCTTCCATTACGTGTGACATTCATAACGGTATTCATAGCCCAACACTCGAGCTAACCCTTAGGCACAATACACACACACACACACACACACACACGCACACACTCTGCCGACCTCTGCACATTCAATTTGCAAATTTTTTCCACATTTGTTATTTTTTTTCGCTTTCGTTCTTTTCGTGCTGTCTCTGAACATCATTTTTAATGCATGTTTGTTGTGGCAACGGGCCGTGTTTGCAGTTTCATTTCAAGTTTCGCCCTGGGTTGTTGGCGCTGCACAAATGCATGAAAAATACACACACACACACATATATATATATATATGTTCATATGTGTACAAAAAAGGGAATTTGCATATATGTTTTTTGCAGCCGCCTGGTGGTAACTACCTCAATAAACTTTATGTTGACGCCGGGACACGTAAACAACGGGACCAGCTCAATTTAGTTACCTCTATTGCTACGCCATGTTGCACACCCCTGACTGCCGCGGGGGCTAAGCTGGGCTGGGCTGGGCTGGGCTGGGCTGGGCTGGGCTCTGGGCCAAGAGATAATGCCTGGTGTGTAAGGTTAGTAAATCAGCGATATGACAAATGCCTGGCGCGTCCAATTTAATGCAGCTTTCAATAACAGACAAAAGAAAATCAAATCTGCTGATAAAGCGAAATAAATCGCTTTTCACATTGGCCGCAAAGCGGGCGACGGCACTAGACTTTACGCCGCCGCCGCCGCCGCCGTTGTCTGGAACTGGAATTACAATGCAGTTGTATGCCAGACAGGGTGACCTGCGGACTAGCGGAAAGGGTTGACTCAGGTCTGGAGCTGCTGCTGTTGGAGCTGTAACGGAGGGTTGCTTGTTTTTGCCAGCTAACAAGCGTCCCCAATTACACGAGCTGAAAGCCAACCATGAGCTCTTAACTACAAGTTTATGCTTGCAAAAGGGCGAAGCTCGCAGGAAGCTTCCATGGGCTTTTTTTCATTTTTCAACTAGTCACGATCTGAAAGCAGCTTTCAAGAGCTTTTAAAGATATTTTTGCCCGCAAAGAACTATCCATATTATAAGCTTAAAGTCTCCGCAGTTGAGTAACGGATGTGATTTGCCCGCCTGAAGCTTTAATGAGCTTTCAACTAAAAGGACATCCGAAGCTCGCTTAAAGCTTTCTTGTGCTTTCTTAAATTTGTTTGACAACTCATTGTTCAATTTTAACTAGTGTCCGTAGGGCATTAAAGTTTGCTTAAAATCCAAGAAGCTGGAGTGCAGAGTAGAGGACAAGCCGGGGGCTTAGTGGCCATTTAAATATTATTGCTATGAGCGGCGACAACAATGAAGGCAGTCCAGGCATCGGAACTGAGAACGGACGGAAAGTGTGGGGCTGAATATTGATTTTCTGCACTTGCATATAGAGCCGGCAGCTCCTGTTAAGCAATGGGGCAGCGCAACCCTTTGGCTCACACCAGGCAGACGCCGGCCAGATAAGCCACCCGGACCGGACCGAGTGCCATAAGCCGATTTAAGGCATGAAAATAGCTGCAAGTAGCTGCAACTGCAGAAATGCCACTCGAAACGCAACGCGGCGAGTCCCGAGGGGATCCCAGCGGAAGTGTGGCAATGTTTGCTGTAATTTATGGCCAGAGTCGTATGTTTGTAGAAATTAATGCCATTGCGACATTGCAGCCGAAGGGCTATACGTAAGGTAAATTAGAAAGGGGAGCAGAAAAGCAGCAAGAGTATGCTATTTCTTGTAGTTTATGGTAAACAACACACAAAATGAAATTCTCATTAAGCAAATGTGAAGTCTAAGGAAGCCAGACAGAACAACGAGCACACGGGCGGGCGGAAATCTTACAAATGCAACAAACAATACTTGAAATTGTATATTATGTTGAGCTGAGGTTTATAGTTGCATTCCATCCAAGATGCTCATTCACCATTTTGTTTGCGGCAAGACTCAAATACGTGAAAATCGCGTAGAAAGGTCCTCTCACAACAAGTTTTATATTTGCAGTATACATTTATCATGGACGCAGTTGGCAACCTGTTTCTTGCCGGACATTTCCCGCAGGACCAAAGCTTGCCAAAAGCCATATTATTCACAATCTTTGCCAGTTTTCTGGCAAACTATTCTCAGCACTTGGCTATAGATAGATGTTGCCAAGAAACCCAATCAGGCGGCTCCGTTCGGCCGCTTGCTGCAAAATGTTTACACCAGCCTCTTTTGGCAGCCGTAAAACTTTCAATATTTGATGCACAAACACACACACACACACACTCAATTCTGTGGCCAAAAAGCGCAGGACACGCTTCACGATGCTCAACGAGCGTCAACAAATAAAGGGGGCTGAGCGAGGAGGGGGCCTGTGGGGCAGAGCCACATTCAGTCACGTGTAGCGGCCTGGCCAGGCTGTAAAAAAAATTGACTGCAATGCGGCTAAGGGAATGCTGGGCACGGCACGGATCTGGTAGGGGGCAAAAGGATGGGGGCACAACAGTTGCATGCAACGAACATTGTCTGTGATGTCCGGAATGTATTTGTATTTGTGCAGTGGAAGGCTGGCAAAAAAGGACAATGTGCCGGCAAACACATAAAGGAAGGCGTCGACAGGGAGTGCGGAGTGGGGTGGGGGGTC